ATTGCTATTTACTGAAGAAGGTAAGGGAGCCTGAACTGCTAAGTTTTAAAGGAAGATAGGTGGAGGATGGTGTTAAGAGGTAGAGACGTAGAGTGGTCCAAAATAAGGTGGATCTAAAATGACAGTTCACCTTTGGGGGCTACTATTACAACGACAATGCAAAGGTTTTCGTTTTTTTAGAGAACCAAAAATCTTAACATCCTTTGAAAAAACCTTATTGTTTGTGCCAAAGTTACAGCACGACAAAACTTCTTCCGATTTTTCAAAAAGTTTATCATTAATTTGTCGTTATTTTTGATTTCAATGTGGAGCACCTTTTCCAAGTGTGCATTTGAAACTAGATGTTGAACTGAGTTGAGTGCTGTAATATTAATACTCTCTCCCTCATTATTTATCTCGTGATTCTCTTTTATACGTCCTTTAAAAAATATTAATTAAAAGGATAATTGGATTATTTTACCCTTATTTATGTCTTAAGATATAATATTTTCTCATTGAATATTTATTCTATTTATATGTTATCTACATATTAAAAATAATAATTATTATTAAGAATAAAATGGGAAAAATAAGATTTATTTTATCTTGAACTTCTAGAATGACAAATAATTTGAGACAACTATTTTTAATTAGAAAGCACAACTGATAATTTGAGATGTAGGGAGTTGAAGTTAACTCTTAAAACTCATTCATAAGGTAACCGAAGGATGATTTTAGAAACATTCATTAATCTAATACTTGATCCTTTAGAAATATTAAGGATGAACATTAAATCCAGCCAAAGAATTCCAATCAACAAGTTTATTAATATCCCATCAATATGGATTTCAGCTTTAAGGGTCGTTTGGAAAGCCATCAGGTAATTGGAATTGGTTTAATTACAAGGGTAGTAATTATATAGCTTAGTAATTACACAGTATTATAATTACGATGACTTATTTGTTTATCATAATATAATTACAGTGCAATTACAAATATACTATTTGGTTGCACAAGTGTAATTACACAATTAGAATAAATTATAAATATAAATTTAATTATTAATTAAAGTTAAGATTGAACAAATATATGCCTTTATAAATGATATTAAATTTAAAATTTAAGATACATATTATTTCTTGAAAATATATTAATTACTAATCATATATTTGCAACTAATATTGTAAAATAATTGACATATATTTTTCAAATTAATAATATTTTATTTTAATTAATTATAAAAACTAAAAGCACATATTTTGTAAGAACGTTATGGAGTGCTTGATAAAAATATTTATATTTATAAATATAATACCATAACATTACTCAAATATTTTATGAAAAAAATAATCTATCAATTCTAACTGAAAAATGAATGGCATGCAATATGAATTAATAAGTCAATACTACTAAAGCAAATAAAATGGAACCGAAAATATAACATAAATTCAAAATTAACATAATACTCTTATTTAAAATTAAATTAAGCGTCAATATAATTTAAGTAAATATAATTCAAAAGAAAAGGAAAACATAAGTCTATAACTTCATTCAACAATGAGATTCTACTTTAATGACATCACTCATTATATGCCAAATTTATTAATGACTCGTTATTTCTAATATTAGGAGGTGTAGTTTCGAAACTAGAATAATAGCACAATTATGCTAAATGAAGAAAATAAAGAAAAATAAAATTTTGAGAAACTATATGAAATCACAAAAAAATAAAGGTTGGAAAATGAAATATTATATATTAAAAAGTAAGATCATTTTAACATAGTTAAGTTTGCATATAACCTCATCCAATAACAAAGTTCAACTTTAATGACAACACTCGTTATAAGTCAAGTTTGTGAATGACTTATTATTTCTAAGATTACGAAAAATATTAGAATAATAACATAGTAAGTGTAATAAAAAAAATAATTAAGAAAGAACAAAAATATGAGAAATTATATAGAAACACGTGAAGTAAAGGTTGGGAAATGAGAAATAAGGAAATAAAAGACAAATAACGTAAAAAAATATAATATTTGAAAGAAAAAAAGAATTTAAAAAGTTAAAATAAAAAATAAATTAAAAAGAAAAAAGAATAGAAATAAAAAGTAAATTAAAAGAAAAGAAAAGAGATTCAAAAAATAACCTTGTAATTACATCGTGCCTCCCTTGAGAATCGGAGAGGATAATAATACAAGTAATTACTTGGTGACAAACATATCAAACTATGTAATTACACCCAATTACACACACATCCAACTACGTGGTGACTTTCCAAACATGCACTAAGTAAACTTTTATTTAGAAACCTTTATTAATCCAATACGTAATCCTTTTGATATATTAAGGATGACCATAATATAATTGTAATCAACAAGTTTATTAATATCCCCTCAATTTGTATTGACTTTAAGTAAATTTTTATTTAGAAAAAGATAGAAAGTTGTGGTGACAAAGACTAATAATATTGGAATTGAACAAAGATCATAGATTCTTCTTCCGTTAGCAGTAAAACAGCTCTAAGTCACATCAAATACAACACCAAGCTTTAAAATTCGATCACATGCACCAACAATATTTAATCAACAGAAAGTGATAAACTTACCAGGGTCAACATCTCCAGCAATCTGAAGAGCATCTCAGTTAGCTACTTTACAAAAATACTAACATCAGACATTTTCATGTGCATTTGTTATACAAAAATAACCTATTTTTAGGCTACAACATCCACATTTATGTACATTTATGGATATTCTATGAGGTAAAAAAAAAAATACAACGTTAAAGGATCTTTCAATTTTTCTATGTTTGATTGGCTTAAATATTTTAAAAAATATTTTCCTCGTTAACTCATTTTTCTCCAATTGGAAGAAAATATTTTTCCTATCAAAAGGGAAAATATTTTCCAAAATTCTTTTTCAACCTAATGTCCAAATTAATAATCCTACGATAAAGAACAAATTTAGATTAACTTAATGTCCTTCAACACGAAACAATGAATAACTCACAATACAAATTAATAATCCTACAATCAAGAATATATATTAGATCAGTGGCGGACCCAGAATTTTATGCAAGCGGGTTCAATCTTAGAAGTAAATAACTTTAGTCGTAAAATAGTAGTTATCAAGTGGGTTCAAATAAAATATTTATACAAAATTTACGCAGCTTTAATCCTAATTTATACATATACACAGTATTATTTTTTGATGAAGCGGGTTCAGTTGAACCCGATTGCCACCACGTACGTCTGCCTCGGTATTAGATTACTAATGTCCAAATTAATAATCTAAATTAATAAATTAATTAACACAACACATTTAGAGATAATATCAATTTATTATCGTCTCCACAGGGATTTGATTTAAACAGTGTTCGGATAATCTCTAGTTGATTACTATCCAGGAAAATTAACACTTGATTTTATAACTGTTACTACTGTGAACTACTAAAAATTAAGCAAATAACAATTGCTCACAAAAGACAGTAGATGAGCAACAAAGAAATATCAATGAGAGGGATAAGGGTATTTGACTAGATAGGTGAAAGATAACTGACTCGGGATTCAATTCTTGATTTAATATTCACTCTATAATACAGTTGATTCTCACAAATTCAACTGATAATCAGATTGCACTTGAAGTTAATGTTCCTCTTTCGATTAAACGTTAATTCAGTAGTTAATCCAATTGAAACACGGTAAACAATTGCAACAATCAAATGATGGTTATGATCTAAAGGGTAACTTCTCACGAATATTTTCCTATTTTCTAGTTCGATTAACAATTCAAAGGGCTCTTTCGATTACCTATTTAAATCACGAATTTAAAGTAGAGCATAAGATGTGAAGAAATTCACTATCAAACTCCTCTTTCTATTAAGCAAAATAATGAATAACTCACAATACAAATTAAAGCTCCATCAATTAATTCTAACAATTATCAAGAATCGAATCCCTAATCAAGTTATCGAAACACCGTATCTGTCAACACCCTAATGGAAATTACTCCATAATAATGGAGTAATACATCTCAAATAAGTTTAAGAACAAAGAAAACATCAATTCTAATGATTCGATACAAACTCCCGCATTGCACCGATTGCAGGTTGTAGTATTGATGAGTTCTTGAGTCTTCTTACCTTGGTTGGTTCTCCAATCTCCCGTAGGTCAAAAGTTTCACATACTAGAATAGAGTTTAGTAGCATCTCATACCTCTTGCTAATGTTACTCGCCCTTTGACACTTGTCACATGCAGCTACGTACGTCCGTGTGTCTTTGTATAAAGTAGGCCAATAGAAACCGGTTTCCATGACCTTTGCTGCAGTGCGATTTCTACCATAGTGTCCTCCAGCTACTTCATCATGGCAATGGGAAAGAATGCTTGCCTTCTCTCCTTCAGGCACACACCTTCGAATCACACCATCTGCACACAGTTTAAATAAGAAAGGGTCATTCCAAAAATGACCTTTTACCTCACCTTGAAGCTTCTTTCTTTGATCACGAGAGAGGTTACTAGGCCGCCATCCACTAGCCAAAACGTTGGTTACATCAGCATACCAAGGCGGTCTTACGGAGACCGCAACAATGAAAAAAATCTGCTCATTAGGGAACTCTTCTCTTACGTCAACTATTTCAACCGGAGGTCTCTCAAGTCGAGATAGATGATCGACGACTTGATTTTTTGTGTCCTTCCTATCTTTGATCTCCAAGTCAAACTGTTGGAGCAACAATACCCACCGCATCAGATGCGGATTGGAATCCTTCTTACTCAACAGATATTTCAAGGTTGAGTGATCCGTGTGTACAATTACTTATCATTAATTTGTCGTTATTTTTTGGTGTCAATGTGTATACTCCCATGAGGAAAGGCAGCTTTTCCAAGTGTGCATTTGAAACTAGATGTTGACCTACGGTGAGTGTTGTAATACTTCATTCGTAAGGTAATCAAAGGATTATTTTAGAAACCTTTATTAATCCAATACGTAATCCTTTAGATATACTATTAAGGATGACCATAATATAATTGTAACCAACAAGTTTATTAATATCCCCTCAATATGTATTTCAACTTTAAGTAAACTTTTATTTAGAAAAAGATAGAAAGTTGTGATGACAAAGAGTAATAATCTTGGAATTGAACGAAGATCATAGATTGTTTAGTACTTTAATCATGTTGCCACGCACTTTGCACATTGCTTCTAATGGTGTAGCTTTAGGCATAGTGAGACCTTCTCCTTCAGACATGTCAATTTGTTCTTTGCTAATTTTCCTCCAATCAAAGCACTGAAGCAAAGTTGCCAATGTCAGTGCCACAACTCTATTAGCAAGGCCAGCAGCAGGGCAACTCCTTCTTCCTAATCCAAATGGAATTAACTTCAATTTGTATGCATCAACTTCCAATCCTTCAAATCTTTCTGGCTTGAAACTTGTTGGATCATCCCACAGTTGAGGATCCCTGTGCATTGCCCAGGCATTGACAAGTAGCATTGTTTTACGTGGCACGTTGTAACACCCGATAATACATTCATCCGATGATTCGTGCGGTGATAGTAATGGTACTGCTGGAAATAATCGTAGTGTCTCATACACTATGTTTTGGAGGTAAGGTAACTTAGGAATGTCTGATTCATCTGCTAGACGATCTTCGCCGATAACTTGATCGAGCTCCTTCGTAGCCTTCTCTAATTTCTCGGTGTGGTTTAGTAAAAGTGTCAGCGCCCATTCTATTGTCACTGATGAAGTGTCAGTCCCTGCAGTCAAGAGTATCTGAGAATGTAACTGAAGTTAGGACGGAGAGAATTGGACATTTAGAAAAGTACTACACTCGAGTATTATGACATAAATCTTGACACTTATGCATCAGTCTACTTCTAGATTTTGTACATATTATAGGCTAGCTGGAAAAAGGCCTTGCTATAAACAGATGCAAATTAAACAGCATTTACGAGGTGGATTTAACCCTTCAATATATATGAAAAACATTTTCTCACAAATGTACACATACATAGTAACTCACTCCCACACGAACCTGCAGACTCTAAATTATGAATCCGCCTATTAGAGCAACATGGGTTTTTTAGTATATTGCTTTTACACTTATCGAAAATATTACTCTAGTGATCAAATTTTGTTCATGGAACGTACCAGTATAATTCCTTTGATGATGTCGTCAGTGTAGTATTCAGGTTCTGAGTCTTGCAAAGCTAGCATTTTGCCAATCATTGTATTTCTTCTTTCTCCAAGTTGGTAAGTTTCGGTACTTTTATGTCTATGTCCCTCTATAAGCCCCTGTAGAAATTCATCAGATTTCACCTGCAACTTTAGCATTTTCTTTTCTAGGCCATGAAAATCAAACCACTGTAGAAATGGCAAGAAATCCCCTGTATTAGATGCTCCACTCAAAGCAAAAAGTTCCCTTATGATATCGCGAAACTGCATCGCCTCCTCATAATCTTCCACTTCAACTCCATAATATTTCTTTCCTGCAACCATCCTCATAATTATATTAAATGACAACTCTGATATTCTTGATCTCATTTCTACTAAAATGAAATTTCGCCTCGAATCTAATTGGTACAAGTCTTTTACTAGTGCTTTAATCTCCTCCCTTCGGATATCAGCAGACATGTTTAATCGAGCTGTAGAGAATATCTCAACTGTAGTAAGCCTTCGAAGATTTCTCCAAAGAGGACCATAGGGAGCTGCCCCTATTGTAGTAAAGTTGTAGTTCAAGAGCTTGCCAACGAGAAAACGAGGTCTATTGGCAAAGATTGTATCATTTTTTGTGAAGCATTCTTCAACAGCAGATGGAGAAGATATGACAACTGCAGAACGGAAACCAAACTTTAGGGAAAATATAGGGCCATACTTGTAAGAAAGTTGCTGTAATGTTCTGTGCAATGGTTGTTTTAAAAGTAGAAGATGACCTATAATTGGGATTGAAAAAGGGCTTGGTGGTAGCTTCTTGCTATGCTTTTGATAATGAAGAAAGAGTTTTGATAGGATAAAGAGTGAGAGAAAGGGTACAAAGGAAAAGCAATAAAACCAGGATATTTCCATGAGTAGCAATTCAAAGGTGAGTAAGTGTAAGTTATGAGAGAAGTATTAGTGACTTGTTACAAGTTTATAATTGTCCATTTTAAGAAAGAAATATATGGGTAGTTTACGTTTTGAGCAAGCAATATTTGGCCAGTTGTAGATTGTCAAGAATATTTTAGTGATGGCTTCTCCTTTTGACATTGACCAATGACTATTATTAGCAAATACAATAGTTAAAGTTTACTTGAGGTCACAATACTTGTTTGCCAAGTCTGTGAATGCGACTCTAATAGGACCAAAGTGTATTGGTGGACATTGTTTGTTAGTGTGTGTCTTTATTTTATAGGAAAAAATTACTATTAATAACCTTCATCTGCAATTGTGATCACCGACCACATAATCGCATGCCATAGCAAAAGCGACTAACTGTTTACTTTTTCTAGTTGATATACTACATAAATTATACACTGTTTATAATACATACTAAAAAAGCCTCCCTAAATATTCAAGGCAGGATGCTAATATCACTTATTTTTTTTACGTATAATCTTCTGGGTTTTACAGAATAAGATATGTGGCATGTGTGGATCTTTCCATATCTGATTCATGCTTTATTTAAGAGTTACAGTTTACGATATCAAAACACCAGAATAAGGGGGAAAAAAGTACCAGGAAATTGCAAGTGAACTCCAATATATAGCGGTAATTGACTAATGACTAGTAATTGGTAAATATTTATATGGCAAGCTTCAAGTCTATGAACATTGAATAGTAAAAAAACAGTATTGAAACCGAGAGATTTTTAACGATTATGAAGAGGGTCAGCTGCATTGGGAACTCTTCTTTTGGTTGCAAAGTACACCTCAATAGATTGCCTCATCAGCTTCCATTTTTGCTGTTGATGCACCTTCTGTTCTTCTGGCTGTTCCTCAAATGATGTCGTCTTGTACATGTCAACGAGCAATGAGTCATTATTTTCTGTAGAGATGACCAACAAGCATAGAAAAAGCAACAGCACAACCCTATGGACCAACCTCAATTGTAGAAATTTGTGAATTTGCATTCTACTGCCGAGAAGACGCTCTTCTTTTGTGCATGGGCTATACGAATGCGTGTTATAATCCTAGGAAAGAAAGTACGTAGATTTTTTAAGATCCAACTCTAAAAGAGGGAAGAACCAACAAAGGGAGCTAAGATGGCTTTCTGTTAAAGTATGGCAAATGGTGGAAATTAAAGAGAACAGAGGAAGAACAGAGAGAGAGAGAGAGAGAGGCCAAAGAGAGACGGGAGAGGAAAGACCCGAATCTCATTGAGTGTGCAAACAAGTGAACTTTTTGCTTTCTTTACTTTATGTTGAAGGTATACTATATTCTTTTTGCTTCAGCCTTCTCGGGAACTTTTCTTGAAAAAATTTCTTTACATATATCAGTACCCTAAGATAAGGCCACTCTAGTGCCAAATTGGGTTGATGCATACAGATTACACAACTTGACCCTATTGCTTTATCTCATGAGTATAGTTGGAGTTTTTCTGCAGAATTCAGAAGCTAGTCAACTTTACTTTTTGTAGCTACTCTTCTTTGCCAAGAACTTGTACTACTGGTTAAAACCTCCAAGATTGAGAGGTAAGCAGAAAACCAATTGTGTCGAATATTTGATGATGAAGACATCCAGATCTTCACTCATGTCAAGAATCAATCATCTTACGTGATCTTCTTCCTTACTTTTTTGTCTTTTCCCATGTTAATTCTAAGATGTGATCCGTCCATGTAAAAGTGGCACTTGAATCTGAATCCAAATTTAGGAATAAAGCATTTGCTTGCTATAATAAACTGTACATTTAGTGTTATGATCTGACAGAAGGATTTATTAGCACTTAGGAGATCGTTTTATTGCTGGTCAGAGTTATACGGGTATTAATAATGTAGGGTTAGTTATGTAAAAATAAGTTAGGCAGGAATTAGTTAAGTAGAGATTGTTATATTAGAAATATATATATATATATATATATATATATATATATATATATATATATATTTAATTATTTTTTTTATTTTTTTATTTTTAGAATAAAATATTTGTTTATAATTATACCCTTGGCCTTCTTTAGTTATGTTTTTTTTTTTTTCATTTTTGCGTTTTTATTTAGGCAATAATTTAGGTACTACTTTCACTTCCTCCTCATATAGTTGAACTGATGTCAAGTTGTAGGCATATTTTCACTCCTTATGTTTGGTGTTTTCATTCTCTAGTAACTACTTCAGTTCACTTTGTTTTAATTTGTTCCTTAAAAATTGTGAAAATAGTATGGGCTAGCCAGTTTTCGAAATATAATTGAAAAATAGTCAGTAGTTGCAAAGTCATTGAAAAATAGTCACTTTTTGCGGAAACACGAAAAGTTCCAGCATCTGGATTATGGAGCTCATGCGTATAAACTTCCAGCATATTATGTTGGAAATCCGGCACATTATGCTGAAATCTTATAAGTAAAAAATATTATTCAATTTGTATTACTATAATGAATAATGAAACAATAAACTTTCTGAAGCAGAAAAAAAAATAGAAAGTTAGCAGCAATAGAATGTCGAAATAATATTTGAAAATAATTTCGGAATAAGTCAAGCTCACTGAATGCACAGTGTGTCCTTAAGGAAATTATTCCCCTCAAGTACCCGAGGTGCTAGAATATTATATATTGGTACCAAAAACTCTGATGAACTTCGAACCACTCAATGGTTGTAAAACATACTAAAAAGTTTTGTGCAGAAGAAGAAGAAGAAGAAGATCAGAAAATTTCGTAAGAAAAGATTCTGGGATCAAGGCATATTTGTCGCGGGTCCTGAGTTATTCCTGGTTGAATTTTCGCTAATTAATTAATTAAATTAATTGAAAGAAAATTGACCGAAGTGAAGCAGAGCGACGACGACGACGACGCGAGGTTTACTTTCTTTTCAACACATTTAACACCAAGAGAAGTGTTTTTTCAATATAAACACATTCACTTTTCTTTCCACTACCAATGAAGGACACTTGCTCTTACCAAAGCAAAAGGGAGCTCATTTTTCCTTCACTTTCTTCTCTCCATTTCACATTCACCAATCTTTTAATCCCAACAAAAAAATCGAACTCCAATATATTATGCTGGAATTTTTCCGAATTTTTAAGGGTGTTTTTGTTCAGATTTTATCTTTACATGAAAAAGTTGCTCAATTTTGATTACTTTTAAAACGGTGGCTATTTTTTAATTACCAATTATAAATCTGGATAATTCTAATTATTTTTCCTTACAAGGCAACGCAAGGTATATACTAGTTGGCACGTGAAAGCACTGTAATCAAAACCATAAGATGAAACGTAAACTATCAAAGCCATATAATGCAACAATTTAGAGAGGACTAGTACACTATTATTTACATATATACGCAACTTACATAATTATATCGTTAAATAAATGAAACTAGGCACATACAGAGACAAATCAAAGTGAACTAACTGATAGCCTAGAAGTACTTTTTAAAAAAAAAAATATTTTTTATTTAAAAAGGTACTTTTGAGGAGAAGCAGAAGCAGTTTTGAAGAAGCAGAAAAAAAATAGCTTTTCTCCAAAAACACTTTTTAGAAAAGCGCTTTTGAGAAAAATACACTTAGAAGCAGTTTATAAAAGTTTGGTCAAACACTAATTGCTGCTCAGAAGTATTTTTCAAATTAATTAGCCAAAACAAACTACTTTTCACCAAAAGTACTTTTGAGAAAAGTATTTTTAAAAAAAAAATAAGCTGATTTTTACAGCTTGGCCAAACATGTTATAAGACTGATATTTATATTGTTCATCTTCCATATCGTCGGGAGGAGAATAGTACCAAGTATGTGAACAAAGAAAATGTTCCTATTTCAAGAAGTAATTATCAAACAGTATTTTTTCCAAAAGAAGTTCTCTGTTTCAGCAGCATTCTTCTTCCGTCCGCATTAAAACAGCTCTAAGTCACATCAAATACAACATCAAGCTTCAAAATTCGATCACAAGCACCAACAATATTTAATCAGCAGAAAGTGATAACTTACCGGGGTCAACATCTCCAGCAATCTGAAGAGCATCTCAGTTAGCCACTTTACAAAAATACTAACATCAGACATTTTCATGTGCATTTGTTATACAAAAATAACCTATTGTTAGGCTACAACATCCACATATATGTACATTTATGGATATTCTATGAGGTAAAAAAAAAAAAATACAACGTTGAAGGATTTTTCAATTTTTCTATGTTTGGCTGGTTTAAATATTTTAAAAAATATTTTTCTCGTAAACTCATTTTTCTCCAATTAAAAGAAAATATTTTTTCTATCAAGAGAAGGGAAAATATTTTCTAAAATTCTTTTTCAACATTCCTTGTCTTAGTTCC